TTTGTATATCTCATCAGATTTCTTAATAAGAAATTTGTATTTGTAGAATTTTAAAAAAGCAATGAATGCGTTTGCTGAAAAATGCATTTTGTGGCATATTCACAGTTTTAGAATTTCAATATTCAAACACTTATCATTGAAAAATCTGTTAAGAAAAAAACTACAACACAATGTCGAAGATTGAAAGAACATCTATTAGACGGGGAAAAAAAAGATGCAAAAAAAAAAGCAACGATTATTGTTATATGTGAGTTGGGTTAATTTTTTTAAAAAAAGTGTTGCAAACTGGAAGGGGGCAGCCTGGATGGGATGTGGGTCATGCTCATGATTAATCTCAAAAAAACCTAATGCCTCCTCTGGGCAAACTTTGCAACTAAATGTTAATTTAATAATTGATCCACAGTTTTACATTTAATTGTTATTTAGTGATTGCTCCGTGTGAAAATGTGGTATGCAAGGTCGGTGATAATTATTACATCACATGTCTCACCACTTTTTCACCATTTAGAATACCTGCAGAATTGTTTCAGTTAATGTTGATATGCTTTTAAAGGTCCAACATCTCGATATATATTACAATGTCCAGACTCGACTGCTAAAATGCTCTCCTCACTGGCCTTTCTAGTTCCACCATCCCCAAGCACAAGCTCATTCAAATCTCTGCTGGGCAAACCTTTACCCAGGTAAAACTTCATATCTCCATCACCCTTGTGCTCATAAGGCTCCACTGAATCCTTATTTCCCAGCTGATCCTCACTCTCCATTAGAAATCCCTTCATGTCCTCACAGGTCCTTATCTCTGTGATCTTCATTAGTCTGCTCAGTCCCTCCCCTCAACAAATTCCGGCCTATCTACATGCCCCTACCCTCTCTGCCCCACCATCAGTGGCGAAACCTTCAGGCATTACAACAACAACAATAAACAACAAAATGGCATGTATATAGCGCCTTTCAAGATGCAAGGACGTCCCAAGGTGATGGACAGTTACAGGTTTGCATCCGAGCCGGAGTTGGAATCAAGAGAGGTGGAGGATAGGAGGATTGGAGAGTGGCCGAAAGCACAATCAAAGAGGCAAGTCTTTAGACAGGCTTTGAAGGAGTCAAGGGAGGGGTGAAGCAGAGAGATTACAGGATGGAATTCCAGAGAGTGGCACCAGAACAGCTTAAGTCCCGACTGCCAATGGTGGGTTGGGCAGCCCGTGGGACATGAAGCAGGTCAGTGCCCACTGAGTGGAGGGAGCAATCACTTTGGTATGTGTTAATACCAAGGCTCTGTGAGTGGGCGAGGACACAAGCTACAAAGTTCTGAATAATCTGCAGCTTGTATAGGGAAGAGTTGGGAAGTCTCGCGGGGACGGAGTTAGTGTAGTCAAACCTGAATGTGATGAATGCGTGAATGAGGGTCTCAACGGCCTGAAGGGAGAGACAGTGATGGAGGTGGGCAATGTTGCAGAGTTGAGGGAAGGTTGGGTCCAGATGGTTTAAGTTACAGTTGGTGGTTGAACAGTACACTAAGTTTCAGTACTGGTTCTGTAAGGTGTAGAGTGCATCTGTGAATGATGATGCTTCAGCACCTGACTTGACCAGGCGCTGACAGGAGCTCCACAGGAGGGAGTCTTGTCAACAGGAGAAAGTTAGCTCTCATCCAGAACTTGATGTCTGACAGATAATCCGTGGTCATGGAATAGAAGGTGGAGGAAGCAGAGAGATAGAGTCGTTGGAATACATGTGGAAATTGATCCCATATCTGCAGATGATGTCAGGGGGGGAAATAACGCCATTATTAAATACATCAGCCCTCCTTCTGGAATTCTCTTTCTTAACCCCTTTCTACCTAACTTTAAAAGCAGGTTAAAAGCATCCCTCCTCCTGCTCCTCCTCCATCTCTCCTGCTCGGTATCAGTCTTCCTAAAGCGTTCAGAGACGTTCCTCCAGGTGAAAGGCGGTTTAGAAACGCAGATGGTTTATTGATCTTCCATTACGTTGCTGTTATACGGTCTGTAACCACACAGAGGCACTCTAAGACTAACTTACACATCTACTGTATGCAAGAGGCTTGGCAGGAGACACTTGGCTGGAGTAACTCATCGCTGTCTATTCACTTTCTAATGCTGCAGGTGCTGAGCAGCAATTCAGGATTATTTTGTTGCTAGATTCTTTGAACTGAGCTTCACATAAATCAAGAGAACTGACTACTTTAGACTAACGCCAATACTAAATACACCAAATCTATAAAAAGCTGGCAATGTGTTGGTGATGCGCGAAACCTTTGATGTCTCTTTTATTTCCCAATGTAAAGTCGCAATAGCCTTTGCGGTGTGTTCGTGCTGGTATTAATGTTAGTGCTAGTGTGTTAGTGCTAGTGTGTTAGTGCTAGTGTTAGTTTTAGTGCTAGTGTTAATGTTAGTGTGTTAGCGCTAGCGTTAGTGCTAGTGTGTTAGTGCTAGTGCTAGTGTGTTAGTGCTAGTGTTAGTGTGTTAGTGCTAGTGTTAGTGCTAGTGTGTTAGTGCTAGTGTTAGTGCTAGTGTTAGTGTGTTAATGCTAGTGTTAGTGCTAGTGTTAGTGTGTTAATGCTAGTGTTAGTGCTAGTGTGTTAGTGCTAGTGTGTTAGTGCTAGTGCTAGTGCGTTAGTGTTAGTGCTAGTGTGTTAGTGTTAGTGCTAGTGTTAATGTTAGTGCTAGTGTGTTAGCGTTAGTGCTAGTGTGTTAGTGCTAGTGTGTTAGTACTAATGTTAGTGCTAGTGTGTTAGTGCTAGTGTTAGTGTGTTAGTGCTAGTGTGTTAGTGCTAGTGTTAGTGCTAGTGTGTTAGTGTTAGTGCTAGTGTGTTAGTGTTAGTGTGTTAGTGCTAGTGTTAGTGCTAGTGTGTTAGTGCTAGTGTTAGTGCTAGTGTGTTAATGTTATTGCTAGTGTGTTAGTATTAGTGCTAGTGTTAATGTTTAGTGCTCGTGTGTTAGTATTAGTGCTGGTGTGTTAGTGTCAGTGCTAGTGTGTTAGTGTTAATGCTAGTGTTAATGTTAGTGCTAGTGTTAGTGTCAGTGCTAGTGTTAGTGCTGGTGTTAGTGTTAATGCTATTGCTAGTGTTAGTGCTGGTGTTAGTGCTGGTGTTAGTGTTAATGCTATTGCTAGTGTTAGTGCTGGTATTAGTGTTAATGCTATTGCTAGTGTTAGTGCTGGTGTTAGTGTTAATGCTATTGCTAGTGTTAGTGCTGGTGTTAGTGCTGGTGTTAGTGTTAATGCTATTGCTGGTGTTAGTGCTGTAGGCGGTGCCGGGCAGGTACACAGGTGCCGGTTGTAACTAGCAGATGGGGAGTGGGCTTGGTTTGGCAGCTTTAACCCAAAGAGGCAGCGTTGTTGGAGGGAATCAGTAAAATCATTTCCAAATGCCAGGAATCTCGGGTTGCGGTCGCCCCTCTGGACTTTTTAACCTTTTTTTAGCAAATGACTCGGGACTTGTTTAATTCGCAGAGGATGAATGAGGAAGTATCCGTGTAATGCATACCCTGTGCTGTAGAATGTGCACCTGCCTGTCCAGGTTTTATCTACATTATGAACAGGAGTTAATCCGAATTTCCACGTACCGATATGCATGGATTAGGAACCGATATGCATGTGTGCATCTCTGGTTTGGTCGGAATTGCAAACTTTATTGTGCAAATCGTGCTGCAGGGTGGGAAAAGGTGCAGAATTAGTTTGGGGAATTTGATGGTGAAATGCGATGTACAGCTGCAGCAATGTGTGTTTCTGTAGCGATGAGAGCCGGGAAATAAATATCTGATCATTTGTGTGAAGGATATCACAAAGAATAACCACACAGTCTGGTCATCATTGTGCCGATCCCACCAGAATAGCAAGCTGGATCCATGTATATATATATATAATATGCATTTCATTTCACAACCTATTCTTTAGGATTCTCGTACCACCAATGAGCTTTAACGGTGACAGAAGGTGTGAGACTTATTTTTTTGCAGATTCCTGGCCGGGAATCGCTTGGTGGCACTTTGAAATCTTCATATGTTGCTGCTCTCGGCTGCCAAGGCCACTGCAGCTCGGCATCTCACTCAAACCAAACACTGAAACGATGGAATTAAAAAGAGCAAAATCACCAAGAGCCGAATCGTCCTCTGTACTTCCAGACAGAAACTCCAGCAACCGACATAGTCAAACCCAATGTCTGCACTTTCTAATGCTTTGCCCCGAGTTCACATCTGGAGTTAGGCAAAGCTGTGCACACACTGTGCATCACTCCCACTGACTGCCCTGCAGACCACACACAGCTTACAACAAATCACCTAACATTGAAGCTTCATGTGTGTTGCAGCTTCACATATGAAGTTGTTGTGTGATATAATTCTCTCTCTCTCTCTCTCTCTCTTTCTCGTAAGCTCTCCAGGCAAGAAGCCCGACAGGAATACTATTCCTGAAACACCTCTCTGTGTTACCCAATGCAACTTTTAACTCATGCCGCTGATTCCACCTGTTTATTCCACTTCAACCCAAAAATCACTGAGATTTCAACATTTATTTGTCAGTTGTTTTCTTCAAAAAAAAAGTCAACGTGTGTTGATGTCTGTGGCAATCACGTTTGTCTGTACTGTATTAGGGACTAAAGGAAGCCAGATGGTGTGCCCCCACCCCCTTCCCACCAGAGCAAACCTGGATTTGAATCATGCTCTGGGTCCTGCATATCATGCAACATTAATGTTCAAACAGTGTCAACCCGAATCAAAAGAGAAATTGAACCATAAAACGTGGCCATGTCCAGTTCAGATACTTAACCGGTTGATACCTGGTCAGTTCCCCTTCACTGGGTCAAGAGTCAAGACACACTCGGCCGATGAACCCCTGGCAGTGCCCAGTTTCAGCCTGTGATTGCTCACCCTGGTGCTCCCGCTTTCCCCACCATGGAGCAAAGGGACAGTGTCCCTCCCTCCCTCCCCCCCCCCACTCCCCCCTCCCTCCCTGTGTGTGTGCTGCTCGGCGACTCTGACACTGTAAGAGGCGATTAGGAGGGAAGAGCTGGAGGGAGCTTCGAGACTTAACTACATAGCTAATGCATTTCCTTTGTCGTGTGTGCATGTGTGTGTGTGTGTGTGTGTGTGTGTGAGGGAGGGGAGAGACTCACAATCATTCTTGTTGGAATTTCTGACCCTTAGCCTTTGAATAAATGCGGGCTACATCGGCATATACTCGGCATGCTAGTTGGAGTGTTTCCTTCGGACAGGTCTCAATCACACAAGTGCAGTTGCATTGAATGTCCCGCGATCTTCGATGGGGGTAAGTGCATCTGTATTTTTTTTTAAAAAAGGGTATGAAGATCTTCGTGCGTTTTGTGAGCAAGAACAAGAGGTACACAGGCTCGACACAGCACAGTGTAATGACCTCCCAGTTACATGCTCCTGTCATTATTGTAATGCCAATGAATCAATAAGGCATCATTTGCCGTCAGAAATTGCTTTAGTAATGATATAGTATTAATAACTGGGACAACAATTCAAAGGATGTTGGCTGTGCAAACAACGTGACTGATATTCCACAGTTAGGAGATTGCAAATGACATGTTTGCTGAAAGACTGAATGCGGCATTGATGCTTGTTCAGCCTGTGACATCCTCGTGCAATATCTGTTTGTAACAGTGCAAAATATGGGTAAGAATGCATAAAAACCACAAGGCAGGAGTTCAACCATCCTTGCGAAACACAGAAAGCACGAAGATCACCATCGAGTTGGGCGAAGTCTCTATTTTAATAACAATAGAACAATCTCGTCAGTTTGTGGGCATAATATCAACGACGTGATTATTAACAGAATAAAAATGTACCAACACTGTAATTCCGCTGATGAAATCCTAGTAATCTAACAATTATAATCAATGGCTGCAGATTTTGATGAATAATAAACGAGTGTCGCTAATAATAGCTCGGCTGTGCTGGTGTGAGGGCTGTTTTGCTGGCATTATTATTAAGCAGCTGGTGACTTCATGACACAACACGGTCGGACACAAAGCGTACAGCTCAGAAGGACAGCATTACACACAGTTTAGTGGTGCGGATAATCCCTCCGGTCGCTGTCTGTACCCCTAAAGAAAGCACATGTGCTCTTAAATAATGAACGTACAATTTGCTAAACGCAGAGAGCATCAATCCACCGGATTGTCCCAGGAATGCAAAAATAATGCTGGCAGGTCCCAGATTGCTAACTTGCACACACACACACACACACACGGGTGCATCCCTCCCTCCCCCCACACCCCCAACACCAATCCTTAAAGGGGTGGGGGTGGGGGGTGGGGGGGGGGGGGTCTGCCTGATGGATGAACATTGCGCGGGGTTTTGCTTTGGTCGCAGTGAAGTGGCTGTGCAGTTTGCCTCCCTCATCCCTTGCAGGTCTGTGAGGGCCGACCCTCCCCACTTGCTGTGAGGCTGGGGGGGGTGGTGTTGGGGGGGGGGGGGGTGCCGGGCTGTGATAGGCAGGCGGGTGCCGGGTGTCACTGGCAGTGACGTGCTGGAGTGGATTGGCGTTTGCGAGCGAGTTGAGGCGGCGGCACAGAGAGGCTGATCACCAATGATCAGATTTAATCGTCCCCGAATTGAAACTTGGCAGGCACTGAATTATGAGATTGCTCCACTGTTTTGCTGGATTAATTCGCATTTAATCGTATTTTTTTTTTTTATCTCCGAAGTAACCTTGTGTAGTGGTCATGGGGTCTGTAATTTCATTTTTGTTTAGATGTACAGGCTCGTGAAAGATCTGCCTTTACTCTAGCGGATACAAGGTGGATCTATGCTGAGAAGCAAAGGGGAAGCAGTGGAAGTTTAAGAGAGGAGAATGCAGGCTGTGTATTGGTACTCCGTCCTTCTCCTCCAGAGCAGTCTCTATCTGGTAAGTTCTCGCCCGCTTCGTAAATGCAATGTCCAATCGTTTAAAGCAACCGCACCGGGAGCTCAGCTTTATTTCTTTTAAAACTTGCACTGACCGACCCGAAGCTCGAGTGAGCGGACTGTGTGGCACTGATGTAAACCGGTGCACAAGGCGATGCTGACCCACGCTCTGCGGCGCATGTTTTGAGCCGAGTACTTGTAGGTGGTACTGAAGTCGGTTAAAACCCCCTCTCAATAACTCGGGGATTTGTACTTATTTCCAAACGCGTCCGGTGGCAGGAACTGGATGGCAAATGACTGACAATTTAGCGGAGTTCCCTCGACTGCACACCTACGCTGCTGCTGTTTCTGGGGTAGGGTCGGGTCGTGAATAAGCTGAGTCTGAGAGGCGAATTGGGGAGACTTGACTTACACTGCTCTCGGGTCTCTCTGATTTATTCCACACGAGCTATACTTGTCCCGCGGGGTCGGCATCAAGACCTCTGCCGTGTTAATACCCAGGCCTTGGAGCATGTCTGTCTGATGATGATGATGATGCACCAATATCATTGCTGGTCGGTTCCTTTTTCACCTCCAGTCAGTGAGTCTCTTGAGCCAAGACGTGGCACTTGGATCCGAGTGCAGGAAATGTCCAAAACTCATCATCGTGACATCAAAAGGCATTTCTACCAAAACCCGACTGCTGTGTACATGGCTACTGTTAGGGCATCTTTCTGAAGTCTATCACTGGTTGACAAAGAAAGCCTTTATGTTTGTTTTGAGCAGTCGGGAGCAGCGAGAGTCCTGGGCACTTCACCCCCGTGTTCGCTCCAGCTGTCCAGTCCAGCAGGACGGGGAGCAATTGCACCATTGAGCCGCCAGAGTGCGCTGCAGGTCGCACGATGCCTGCAACGGGGGAACGATTAAAGCGCAGGGAGTTGGGATGCGGGGGAATAGGTTTTATGGATGGGGATTCGGGGTCTGCTTGTGAATCGCAATAGCTGCACACGTTTATTATAAGTCACAGAGACCTCACTCGGCGTATGATGCCGCTTTGCAAGTGAGGACTGAAACTTCCCCTGACCAGTCCAGTCTGCCCTTTGGTCCTCGGTTATTGTCGGTGCTCCAGTAAATACTGTGCAGGAGGATCGCCCAGAAGTCACGTATCCACCTTTCTTTCAGACTTATTTGGCCGATTGCTGCTCTCTTTGGACACGCCGTGCCAATTTTTTTTTTTAAAAAACAGAAAATTAAAAACAAAATTGCAATACAGCAAAGAAAATACTAAAGCAAAAGCAAAGGGCGAAAATGCAAAGGTGACAATAGAGAGGGGAAGGACAGAGAGAGCGAATTGCAAGTAACAGAGGACAACAACTAGAAAAGGAGGGAATAAAGGAGGATAAAGAAGGGACCATCAAGGAAATGCGTGAACAATTAAGCGTAAGGACATGTACATGTTATCTCGCGGATGTGCGGATATCAGAGCACATTCAGTGAGTGTGGACGTTTTCAGGCAGTTGAAGCCACTTGACTGCGGGGCGATTGAGGTTTGGGGTCTATAATGTTTGGTGGAAGAGGCCTTCACTTCTCCTTTAAACAAGAGCGAGACAGAGAGAGAGAGAGAGAGAGAGGGGGAGACTGGGGAGGGGCAATTAAACATTTGAGCGAACAAATTCCTCTCCCTCATAAACCTCCCATTTTGCACTCTCTGGTTGAGCAGCTCTTACACAAAACGCTCATTGACAACTCACTTTTGGTTACTTTCCAGCGCGTTAAAACCAGTGCATCAAATCTTGAGTCGCGGCTCCACTCTGTTGAGAGCCCCTATTGCCGCAGTGGAGTTGGGGGTTGTTTCCACGTTGTAGCATTTTAACGATAACCGCATTCATTTCCTTGTAACTGTGAACTGGGAGCTTTTCAAAAGCAGTCAGTCTGCAAATTATGCTGATTTAATTATCACTTAGTTACAGACTTCATTAGCTCTAATGTTTTCGCGATGCAAAGTCGTTACTCAGTGCAACAAGAGTACCCGGGGTCTGGCTGTCCAATTCCTACTCAGTCCCTGCCAGTGAAATTAACTTTCAAATTAAAACGTGTAATGGTAACAGATGCCATATTTCACGGGGTTGGCAGTTTTAAAGTCAGACAAATGGCCTGTTCAAGTGTCGGTGCAATTTCATCAGTGGCTCTTAATAAAGCAGTTACAGGGGCTTGAATGGAGGGGTAGACCAGAGCAAGGCTGGGACTAGCGGACAAATAACACGAATTACAGAGGAGTTGAAAGCTTTGAACACAAGGATCAGAAGGTGTCAGCCCAGAAGGAGCTAATTTCAGGTGAACGTTACAAGGATGGATCACACACTGTGACACGCGTTTGAGAAGCGGGTTAGACAGTTAATTAAATAGGTTTGCTACCCCCCCCCCCCCCCTCCCACCCCTTCCCTAATTCCAAGCTGTGTTGAATTTATACACTGAGCAATTGTGATCAAGTCTCAGAAATCATTTTATATCCTCCAGTTATTTGCAATGTGTTGCAACCTGAGAATGCGACGCAAAACGAGAATCCTGTCCTGGCAGATCAGCGATTTTTAACGAAGGCATATAATAGCTAAAAAAAAACATATGGCAAGCGAGACATCTTAGACAGGATCAGGACAAACGCTGCACCATTTTAGTTTTAACCGAATGGACAGTTGGATAAAATAAACAAGCAAGTTGCTTTTTGTGAAATAGAGTGCAACGTGTTTTCACTAATGATTGCACATCAGGTACTTTCAGTCATATAAAAGGAGACCTGTCCCAACCCCCATCCCGGCTATTTGGTCTCGCAAATGCCACCAATCTGTCCCGAATCCCACAGTAAAGAGCGCCCGGGATGTTCCGCTCCCTGTCTGCGGGGCTGGAGAGAAACAGTCCTGGACAGGGGCCAAAATGCGCGCCTCGGGCCCCAGACGGGAATGCTGAAACAACGGGCAGATGTTCCGTGAAGGGATGGGGACAGGCGGCTGGGAAGCGACTGGACCATATGGCACACGCTCAGCTGTCGGAATGGACACGAAGCTCCGTGTCCTTCCTTCCAGTGAGGGTCGGGTCGGGTCGGGTCGGGACGTGGGAGGAACGGCGAGAATGTTCCTGCACATCAGGGGACGGCAATGCAGGTTCAAGGCGGGTGGTGGGAAGGCGGAGTAGTGGCTGTGAGTGCAGTGTGTGTTTGTGGGCCAGAATACACGGACAAGTAGCACAGTGTCTCTGGACAACCGCTTTGCCGGGAACTAGGGATTTTCTCCCGATCTGACCAAGATCTCTGGGTAGCGCTACACCTCTCTGATATCTGAAAAGACGGTCCATTTATTTTGTTTTCTCTTTGCATTATTGTCGACACCATTCATGCATTATGCATCTATAAATTCATCTCATCAGATTTTGCTTTATTCACATTAATACAGTTTAGTCGCGAGGTGCATAATAAAGTCCCTTGGTGGATTCTATCCCAATTCCTGTTTCACGTAAAACTTATCCAATGAAAGTTTATTATTACAGTCCCGGAAGGTTCTGCATTTATTGGTTGCATTTCCTTCAGAACTGCTGTGGCGGAGATTTATTGGTCAAACTCGGATCGCCTTGAACTGCATAATTGCATCCATCCTTTCAAAAAAAAAGCTGTTGACATCTCTTCAAATTATAGAAATATAGTTATACTTTCTGCATGCACACCGTTTATCCCATCAGCCTGGCTTCAAAGGCTTTTAAAGCCGCTTTGGTTCAAATCAGTTGGATCTGATAGATCGTCTGCGATGGGATGTCACTTGTTTTGCATTGGGAATTAATTGATCATAATTATGAACCGCGGCTTTTAAAGAACGGTCGGTTGTACATGATTGCAGTTCAGGCGACGTGTTTAGATATGTTAGATATGTTAGTTAAAGAAGAGAGGAGTTGAAAGCTTTGAACACACGGATCAGAAGGTGTCAGCCCAGAAGGAGCTAATTTCTGGTGAAAACTCTGATATGCCTCCATTGCCCTTATCCCCCCCCCCACACACACACTCACAAGCACACACTTGGTGTGGGGAGTGGTCTTGTGAGATTTGGGTTGCTTTTATGCCTTGGACAGTTATACCACAGTAACTCAACTGCCTGTTACATTCTGCTGGGCCAGTAGTGGGCGCTATTTGGTGCTCCCGAAACTATTGCGTGGTTGGCCGAGACTGAACCCCAATGTCAAAGGTAATGGGGACAACATCACTTTACAATATAAATGACGACAAAGATTCAGCAAGAAGATGATACAGCGGTCATTTCAGTATAGTAAACCAAAGCCCTTGTTTCCACTGTGGTCATCTTTCACGTTTCCAGAGGATTGGTGTACACAATCAGTCATGATTTCCCCTAAAACTTCCAACGTGCATATTCCTTCACCACCTTTACTTATGTTTCTCTTATCATGTCCCTTGTGACTGGTTTATACAAAATATACAGTCAATTCACTTTACAGTATATTCAGTGAAGCGCTTTGAGACATCTCGAAGACGTGATAAGGCGCTATATCAAATGTAAGGATTATTTATTATTATATAACCTTAGTAACATGCACATATATGTCCTAATATTTCAATTCAGCCAGAATGCAATCATTAATTGTACAATATATTTTGAAGAACCAATGAATATAAATTATCTGCGGATCTTCATGCTACAGTCTGTGTGAAATTATATGGAACTGAGAAAACTAACTGAGGTATATGCTCTATGCAGTATGTAAATGTGGCAGTCTTCTGTGAGTGCTTAAGAAAGCCATAACTTTCCAATGTGCTAATAGCAATGAACAAAAGCTCATATTTTATAATGTCCTCTTTTAAATGCTGTTATTTTGATTCCCCGGTAACTGCAAAGTACAACTCCGAGTCTACAAAGTTTAACATAAAATAAGATCCGTAGAAAATCAAAACACAATACATCCGAGTAAATTCAGTACTTTGCTTGAATTGTTTGGCACATTATTGTACTGGGATGGTTTCAGTGG